GGCTCTCTCTCTGCTCCGATCAGACATCAGCCAATCGACTTATTACTCAAATCTGTTTCTTTTGTTCCCTCCCCCTGCCACTAAAAAAGGACTGTGGTGCTTTTTAAAAATCTTACAAGCCATGCAAGCACATGCAAGTCTTTAGATCCTCCCACATCTATGTTTTACTACCCAAGTCGAGTTGACTTCTCACTGGGTGGGACGTGAGGCCACGGCCATAAGAACGCAAAGCCCTTTCGTGTCTTGGTGGTCCCACCCAGGAAGTCTGGGGCTGCAACGCAGGGGCAGAGGCCGTGGATCAAACCACCTCTGAGGACGCCGTTGGCCTGGAAAACCCCACAAGGGTCACTGTGGGTCAGCTGTGACTCGAAGGCACTCGTCTCCACACACACCCAGAGGACGCACGGCGGGTTGGCATTCCCCTCTGCTTATTTGTGCATGTATTGCTTTGCAAATTACGCACCCACTTGAAGAAGTTTGTGCAATTTTACAGCAATCACTGAGAATTGTATCGAGAATGTTACTTGTTTCATTGAGAGCACACCGGGCTACGGGACTTCTGTGCCTTAGGCGACAAAGCCCTGGCCTTGGGATGCCCACTCTGCTGGACCCCGAAATCAGGGGAGGCCTCGGCCTCCGTCTGCCCTCCTGGTCGTTGGCCCTCCAAGGCAGCTGACTTGCCACTGACTGGAACAGGATGCTGGACTGGATGGACCACGGGGTTTTTTTTCACTCAGCAGGGCATCTCCCAGGTGCTTATATGAGTGACTAAATGGTGGAATTCACTGCCAGTGAATGCAGTGAGGCTCAGGTCACTAGCACAGAATGGCTTTGGAAGGCGACTAAATCCTCGAAGGGCTCCGAATGCAGGGCAAAATACCAATGCAAAAAAGGCCAAAGTCACAGAGGAGAGGACTATCAGTGCCTACCACCCATGCTGGCTATAGAGACCCTCCGTGCCCGATGGCCGTGAACCTCTGCACATCGTCACTAGAAGGACACATCCGGGAAGGCCTTGGTCTCTGTGCCCTGTTGGCTGGCTATCCAAAACAACTGCATGAAGCCAGATGCTAGAGAAGATGGACCACCCGCCTGATCCAGCAGGGCTACTCTCAAGTTCATATACGAAAAATCTCATTCAACGTTCCAAGGAAGAGTGGGAGTCATGGGAGTGAAAGCATTCAATTCATAAGGCAGACAAGGATGATAAGCTGGAAAAGTTAATACACCCGGCCAGGTGATTATGAAGGGGAAGGTTGTTGCTAGCTTCGGGGAACGTCACAGTGTCCGTGCCTGGGAACCTCTGGGTGCAAAATGTGTTCTCTGCTCCTAAAAGGGTTCCTCACGGAGCTGACTTAGAGTCTCTGTGGGAATGGCAAGCAGGACATCACTTGGAAAATATTCACAGGGGAGCTGCTGCTAAATCATGGTTACTATACAACGTACCACGGGCACAGTCATCAGACAAAGGCTTTCGAAATCCCCAAATGCAGCAGTTGACTATTAGGCATGCCATGCTTGTTAGCATGCAAATTAACTTGCAATACATGAAAAAAGGGGCTACTGCCTTAATTTCATGCAACAGGAGTGTCACAATAAAGGTAAAGGTTCCCTTGCTCGAAAGCCAGTCGAATCTGAATCTAGGGTTGCGGTGCTCATCTCCGTTTCCAAGCCGAAGAGCCAGCGCTGTCCGAAGATGTTTCCGTGGTCATGTGGCCGGCATGACTAAACAACAAGGCGCACGGAACACAGTTACCTTCCAACTGAAGTGGTACCTATTTATCTACTTGCAATTTCTTGCTTTCGAACTGCTAGGTTGGCAGGAGCTGGAACTAGAGACGGGAGCTCACCCCGTCATGCGGCAACTCGGGTCTTGAACTCCTGAACTACTGACCTTCCACAGCCTGCAGTTCAGCGTCTTGACCACTTGAGCCACCGCAGCTCCAGTGTCACGATAAAACAGCACCCAAATGATGTCACCTTTGGATCCTATCAGGCTTGGTAGATCTCGCTTTCTTTTGCCAGGAACAGATTGTCTTTGGGCAGTCCGAAAATGCAAAACATCATTTTTACACTTTTTTTAAAAAAAAATTACAAGGCCATGAACTGATGTGTGAATTCTCTCTTCCTAGTAAGTTCTAGTAACTAGGTTTCCTAGCAATCTTCCTAGTAAGCTAACGATCTGGCAGTACATAGAGGCAACCACATTGTCTGCAGCATTTTAACTCACCTTTCCCCTCACGGGCTCAAAGCCCTGTGACTGCTTCATGCCCGTTTCCTTGCTTCTGCTATATTATTACTTTTTCTTTGCCTCTTTTCTACGGACGTGTTGATTGCACTTCTGTGGCTGAGTCTAGATGAGGAGCAAAACTGGGGGTCTAACTAAACCGACTGTAGGGTGGTTTTTAAATACATAAGAAAGTGTGAGGAGTCCTGCTGGATCCGACCAGCGAGGGTCCATATAGCCCAGCATCCTGTTTTGCTCAGTCAGTTGCCATGGAGGGCCAGAAGACGAAGCACAGGAGGATTCTCCTCTGATTAATACAGCAGGACACTCTGATAGATCGACAGACAGACAGACAGACAGACAGACAGACAGACACAGACACAGACAGAGTTCGTTAGGAGCAGAAAAGAGCGAGTCCGGCAGCCTCGTAAAGACTAACAACATTTGAGGCAGGTGAGGAGCTATCATAGGGTTGCCACCTCCCCGACGGGGGTGGGGTCTCCTCCAATTTTGGGGGCCCCAATCCGCCGCTGGCCAGCTGGGTGGCCAAGGAGCCCCGCCCCCAAATGGCCCCGTCCCGCCCGACATATCCAACAGGATGACATCACCCGGCGGTGACATCATCGCGCTGGGCACACCACGCAGGGACGCCCTAGCATTTGGGCAAAAACTCTATGGCGGCCATAGAGGGGTTCCCCCCCAAAAATGCTAGAGCATCCCGCCTGATGTGCCCTGCAAGAAGACTCCCGGAAGAAGACTGGACTCTCCCCACCAGCAGCTAAGTGAGATTTGGCAACCGTGAGCTTCCGCGAGTCTCCGCTCCTTTCTTCAGATACGAGCCGTGACTCAGGAAAGCTCCTCCTCTGTCCTCCCCTGCCCACAGATTGTGTCAGTCTTTAAAAGGCTCCTGGACTCTGGCTCTTTTCTCCTGCTACAGACGGACTAACACATCCGCCCTTCTTGATCTGTCTGAAGAAGTGAGCTGTGACTCAGGAAAGCTCCTCCCCTGCCACAAAGTGTGTTAGTCTTGAAGGTGCTCCTAGACTCTTGCTCTTTTCTCCTGCTACAGACAGACTGACATGGCCGCCCATCTTGATCTGTCTGAAGAAGTGAGCTCCTACCACAGATTGTGTTAGTCTTTCAGGTGTTTTCGCCTGCTGCAGACAGACTAACAGGGACACCCATCTTGATCTATCTGAAGAAGTGAGGGGATGGACTCACAAAAGCTCCTCCCCTGCCACGAATTGTGTTAGTCTTTCAGGTGCTCCTGGACTCCTGCTCTTTTCTCCTGCTACAGACAGACTAACACGGCTGCCCATCTTGATCTATCTGAAGAAGTGAGCTCCTCCCCTGCCACAAATCGTGTTATAGTCTTTCAGGTGCTCCTGGACCCTTGCTCTTTTCTCCTGCTGCAGACAGACTAACACGGCCACCCATCTTGACCTATCTGAAGAAGTGGGCAGGGACTCACAAAAGCTCCTCCCCTGCCACGAATTGTGTTAGTCTTTCAGGTGCTCCTGGAATCCTGCTCTTTTCTCCTGCTACAGACAGACTGACAGGGCCGCCCATCTAGATCTATCTCCATGACTTTGTTAGGGAAGACCAAACCAGGATCTGGACCCACAGATCAAGGGTTTATCAACTGCAGTTAGTCTGAACTCTGGTCGCAAGTGACATACGATCCAGGACCTTCTGGCCTGTAATAACAATAATTATCATATGGCAGTGTGTGTAGTATAGCCGGGAGATCCTAAGATTGTCTGTCAGCCAGAAGTTCTAGCTCTTTTCGCTTTATGCACCACTAGGTGGTGAGCTAGACTTTTTTTTTTAAGGCAAGAGACATTCCAGGGGTGGTTTCCCATTACTTGCCTCTGCATCTTGGCCCTGGTATTCCTTGGAGGTCGCCCTTCCAAAGACTAGCCAGGGCCGACCCTGCTTAGCTTCCGAGATCTGGTGGGATTCGGCTGGCCTGGGCTCTCCGGGCAGGGCTCCTCCTGGCCTGTTCCCCAGGGGGCCACCTGCCCTGAAGTGCAGACAAGGATACCGGCTGGGTATTCGCATGGGTGGGGGGCGGGGGTGAAAATAAAAAAACTAGTACTTCTTGGGGGCAGATTGTGATCTGTCTGGGCCCCCACAATGCTTCTAAACGCATGCTTGCTGGTTTGTTGCGTGCCTTGCTGGCAAATCTGTGAAAAAAGGATTCCTAAAGATAAATGGACACGGGGGGGGGGAATGCTACTCCCCCTTGCTTCTCACCATTCTTGGTGACTGCTGGAAGTGGGAAGAGAATCATTATGACAGTCCCCCGTTCCCCCAGCTGACATTTCTCACTAACGGAAACACCTGCAATTATCTGCTTATGAATACATGCGAGCTCATCCAGAAAGTATCTCTCAGCAGCTGACATGACACAGTATAAAATTCATATTTCTCAGCTCAGCGCCACATGCACTCCATCAGCCCTCTGTAATTATTACGATTGTGCTTTATTTATATAGTCCATTTATTTGAAGGCGGGATAAATGGACGGAGAGACATCGGCAGGCAATGGGACCCCCCCCCCCAAAAAAACAGCACAAGCTTCTTAATCGAATGGTAAAGGAACGGTTGGTGGTTATGCTTGTTAAACATGTAGAATCAGGGATTAAATCATGCAAAAGGGGTCGGGAGGATTGGATGGAGCGATGGCGATTTATGTTAGGAATCCTACCAATAATGGGCAAAATGAGAACTGTTAGTTTTACTAGAGAAGAAAGGCAAACGTTTCACTCACTTTCACTATACTCCATTTCTACTTCTGTTTTTCCTCCTCTACTTCTGGTTCTTCTATGCTCTTTAAAACAAAACCAAGGATTGTTTCAATTTTAGATGAACAGCAATTTACTCTAAACTAGAACGACACATTACAACATCACAGCCAGTAAAATATCTTTTTGAACCATTGTGCTTTTAGCAAACGAAACAAAGCTCTTTGAAGGCATCTAAAATGTCACCTGTTCAATATTTTTTCTGGGTGGCATACGTATCAGGCAGCCCACTCTGTCCGTCCTGATTTTGGGTTTTCCCAAAGTTACAAACCTACATTTGAGAGGAGAAAATAAAAAAAGCCCTCTAGGATAACGGCAGTCTTCATAGCAGAAGAGGCGTCCACCCTACTGGTGGCAAAGTGGTATAAACCCCGTGGGGTGTTGTGCACCTGAAACCAAGGACTGTTGCTACTAAAACAGGCCTCCTAAGGGGGAACAAAGCTCGTCTGGAAATCTGGATGAGTTAAACAGGGAATGTGAAGCTACTGCAAAACCAGGAAAGAGATTTTAACAACCAGCTCTGACTACTTAGACATGGTAAAAATCGCAGAGGATATCAGAACGGAAGTAAATTGGCCGGACCTCGTAAATACGAATCAAAGTACAAATGCATTATCCCCATGCAGATGCATCGAGATCACGACCAACCCCATTTTGGGTTATTTTTATCAGAAACCCACCTGTTTTTTACATTCGGGTTTTTATTTAAACCTGGGGGGCGCCCCCTGGGATTCCAGAAAAGTACAACAGAACAGAAACCTTTATTGGCATAACACAAGTAAACCAGGCAAGGAAAAGTTTAAAGGATAATACAAGACCAGCATCAACCAGTAATCCCAGTATTCCTAAATACAAGACAATCCTAACATGATTTACAGGAATTACAGAGTATTACTCTTGACTTCCATGCATAGGTCAAAAATTCAGCGACAGATAGTGTTATTGCTGGGCTCTTGTCTGCTAAGAAAAAAAATTAAGTCCCTGTCCAGAAAATCTCTCTGCGAAGGGAGAAAAGGGCGAATCAAGATATTGCGCATAACGGAGTATTTAGGGCAGCGGAGAAGGATATGGGTAACAGAGTCAGGTTCCCCAAGGTTACAGTTACAAAGTCTATCCCTGTATGGAACACCCCTGTATCTACCTGAAAAGTAACTCCCAGACGTGGCTGACCTGATTGCACAGATTTGCTTATCCACACAGGGAACCAGGCCCTTGGGTTTTCCCTCCAAGTTCAAGGTCTCTAGGACTTTCACATCCTGTTCAGCTAATTGCTTCACACCCTCCTTGGTTTGCCCTTTGAAATGTACCTTTGCACTCCATGACACTTACTTGGGCAAGGTAAAGCCTGAAAATAAACCAAGTCACTACCTTTTGTCAACAGAGAGGCAAACGAAGTCAAAACTCAGAGCAGAAGATCAACAAACAAACAGCCAGTAGAGGGAGGATGCCCGTTGGTATAACTGAAAGCATACAGCTAAACGTGACTGATGGGCGACATGGTGAGCAATGCTCCACCCGGTTTCTGCAGTCCAAATACTGACTGTGGCAAGTCCTTTATTACGGTGTGGCACGCACAAAGTCTCACAATAAGTAAGCCATGTACACATAAGCACTGTGAGCATTGTTTTAGTGCACCGGACTACATCTGCGCATGGTTTGCACTGGGACTACTGCCAGCTGTTCACTTCTCTTGATTCCCTTTCTGCAAAGCATCTCTAAGAAGCCCTTTGGTCCCATAAACACACCATTCACTTCCTATGCTGGTTACTTTAGCGTCCCACCTACCAGTCCAAAATACTTGGATTTAAAGATTTGATTTTCCCTTTTGCAAGAGCCACATTTGGTTCTGCACTGAGCCACACTGGGCTCTTGGACCAAAGGTTGCACACCCCTGAACCTAAGCGCATGCATGCGAGGTTTTAGAAAATAAGCCGTGAATAAAACATGGCTGTCCAGCCCCTGCTGCGGTTGTGCACTGCCGCTCCAAATGTTCGCAGGAGAAAAATACAAGTTAAAAAAGCAACATCATGTATTCACCGTACGTTACCACTGGAAGTGACAAAGGGTAGCTCTAGCAATCACTGGAAACTCTGGTTAAACCATAGAGTTTCTAGAATTCCTAGAGCTACCCTTAGAAGAAGAGCCACTGTGGTGTCGTGGGGAGAAAGCCAGAGTAGGATCTGGGGAAGGGGAAGGGGAAGGGGAAGAAGGTGGAGGAGGAGATTGGGTTTATATCCCACCCTTCACTACCCAAGGGAGTCTCAGAGCGGCTTACAAACTCCTTTCCCTTCCCCTCCCCACAACAGACACCCTGCGATGGAGGTGGGGCTGAGAGAGCCCTTGACAGAAACAGCTCTTATCAGAACTACGGCTTGCCCAAGGTCATCCAGCCAGGTGCAAGTGGAGGAGGAGTAGGGAATCAACCCCCCGGTTCTCCCAGATTAGAGTCCGCCTGCACTTCACCACTAGACCAAACTGGCGATTCCCTCCCCCTTTTCACCAGAGGAGATGTAGCATAGCAAACAACTCTGGGTCCCCCCCACTCCCCCCCCAGAACCCTCCCACTGGTTGCCAGGCAACCCCCAGCAACCCTGGAATAAAATAAACAACCACATAGTCTATTTTACTTTAACTATGCTGCACGAGTCATTCTTTGCTCTTCAGACACCCGTTAGGTAGTAATGTAAATGAACATATTTTAGTGGTTTTACCCACACAAATTTTACCACTGTTGCAATACTTATGTTTGTAGTGCTCAGTATACGATAATGTGAATGATGAGAAGGGGTGGGCCCAGGTTTCACAGCCCCTTTACAGTCCCTACCAGGGCTTTTCTTCTGGGGGAACACGCCAGACTGGAGTTCCGGAACCTCTTCGACAAAATTCTTTTAAAAAATGTTTAAAAGTTCATGAAACTGAAAACTTCATTTCCCTCTCGAGAGTTCTGGCACCTCTTTAAAAAGGGGGGGGGGAGAAGCGCCCCACTAAACCCTATTAAGAAAGGCATCTGCAAAACAGAATAGGATGACGCCATGACGGCAGGATTTCATTCCAAAATATGCAAACGGCCTCCTATATAGGATTTCTGTTCTCTTTCCAAAAAAATAATTAATATCCCAAAGGTACACTTGCCTAAGGTTTCCCTTGCTCAAAAGCTAGTCAAATCTGACTCTAGGGGGCGGTGCTAATCTCCGTTTCCAAGCTGAAGAGCCAGCGCTGTCCGAAGACATTTCCGTGGTCATGTGGCCGGCATGAATGAACACTGAGGCGCACGGAACGCTGTGACCTTCCCACTGAAGCAATTCCTATTTATCTATCTGCAGTTTCTTGCTTTCGAACTGCTAAGTTAGCAGGAGCTGGGGCCAGAGTCTACGGGAGCTCCCTCCGTCACACGGCACCCGGGTCTCGAACTGCTGACCTACAGACCTTCCGGTCTGCAGCTCAGCATCGTAACCTCTGAGCCACCGTGGCTCATGTACCCCTAAGTTTACATCAGACTTCTCTTAACTGAGCCTTGGATGTCTCTGATGCCGCTGGTGCAATATTTAAACCAAATGCACCGTCATGGTTAACATGCAAGGAGGAATCCCAGCCACAGACAGGGGACTGTTTCCCCTGATAAGCTTTTGGGTTCAAATATCCAGCCGACAGGTTTTCACACCTCCACACTGTATTGCGCCCTTGCTGCTTCAGAACTGCTTTGGGAATATCCCCAAATACGCCTCCTCAGTTAAGACGAAGAGACGTAACCTTCATTCGCTCAGAGGAGGCCGCTCTCCTGTTCGGAGCTCGGCAGGTTCTTCTGAGGTAACTTTTGTGTCAGACGTGAGGGGAAAGGAGAGGAATCAGTGCCAAATCACTTGAGAAATCACCAAAGGAGAAGGGGACCTTTAAAAACCTGCCTTGTCAAAAGAATATAGATTAGGCTTACATCAATTTGGTAGGAATATTTATTTTATTGTATTTCTGATGTCTCTATCCCACCCTCACCCACAAACGGGCTCGGGGGGGGGGTCACAACAAGAGGATAAACACTTAAAATGTGCCATATATACAGTTTAAAACCCACAACACATGATGGCGAGCGAATAAAGAGAGGAGGAGGAGGAGGAGAGGAGATTGGATATATATCCTGCCCTTCACTCAGAGTCTCAGAGCAGTTTCCAATCTCCTTTCCCTTCCCCTCCTCACAACAGACACCCTGTGAGGTAGGCGGGGCTGAGAGAGCTCTGAGAGAACTGCTCTCGAGAGAACAGCTCTGAAAGAACTTGTGACTGACCCATGGTCACACCAGCAGCTGCAAACCCGGTTCTCCCAGATTAGAGTCCGCGCACTTAACCACTACACCAAACTGGCTCTCAAGCAAGCTCCATGGTGTACAACGTCTATGTGCCCAAGGGCTGGCCTGTGAGGAGGTAGGTGAAACGTCAGCCGATGGGACCATTTAATAAAGTGCACAGCGCAACAGAAGTGGAGGCGGAGTGGGGCGGGGGAGGTCGATGTGGTTTGACATCCGTGGCCTCAGCCAAAGGCCTGGGGGAACAACTCCATTTTGCAGGCCCTGTGGAACTGTACTTAGCCGTCCCGCCAGGCCCTGGTCTCGTGAGGGAGAGTGTTCTGCCAGGCCGGAGCCAGGGGCAAAGAGGCTCCGGTGGAGGCCAAACGGATGTTGTCTGGGCCAGGGATTACCAGCAGGTGTGGGCCAGCCGGACGCAAGGCTCTCTGGGGAACCTATTGGGAGAGGTGGCCCTGCAGCTATGTTGGCCCCAGACCGCATAGGGCTTTAAAGGTTAGTACCAACCCCTTGAACTTGATCTGGTACTCAACTGGAAGCCCATGCAGCTGGCAAAGCACTGGCTAGGGTGTATGCGCCCGCAAGGGCGTCCCAGCCAGGAGGCACATGGCTGCATGGTGCACCAGTTGAAGTTCCCAGGTCAAAGTCAAGGGCAGCCCCGCGTGGACTGAGTTACAGTAATCCAGCCTGGAAGTGACCACTGCATGGATCATTGTGGCTAGGTCCTGGGAGGAG